CTGAAAGGGAAAGGCAAGAGTGGAAGCGGCAAATGGGCCCCCACTGCAATGAAAGGAAAAGGAAAATTACTGCGGTGTTGGAAATGCGGACAACACGGACACATGTCTAAGGACTGTAAGAACGTAGCCACTGTGTATGATGAAACACAAGAAGAAGAATACGAATATGACGAAGAAGCTGACTGGACTGACTGGACAGGAGCTGTGACCTATGACGACTGGAGTTACGGTGATTACTGTGACTTTTACCAAGACTCATACTGGACTGAAGACTCCGACTGGTGGACTGATGGTTGGTATGACAACTGGACTTGGGAGACTGATGTTGCTCCCACTGTGCCTCCAGCACTGTCACCGCCTCAGCCTGGACCATCGTCCAGCACTGCAACGAGCTCAGCTGGTTTCACTGAAGGAAGAACGGCATCTTCCACACAGAACACTGTATCGAACGTTTCAGCTGTCCACTCGACTGTGAAGGTCACTGATGTTGAGACTGGTGAAACACACTCTCATGTCAGACCCATACCCACGAGCACTGGTTCAACACGCACTGTGCACAAAGGACCTGGACTGGTTGGAACGTTTCTTGTAACTGCAGTGTTGAATTCGTTTGGTAGACCTCAGGGATTACCACTGATTCCTGAAACTGTTTCACAGCGACTGGATTTTCGAGACTCGAACTGTCTCACTGAGACGTACCATGACGCACTGAGTGCATACCATGACAAGCGTATTGCAGCTGTACCCTCACATGAACACTGGATACTGTTTGACTCTGGAGCTGCTGCGCGCTGTTGTCCTGCTGACTATGCACCTGACTATCCAGTGCTTCCTGTAGGCAAAGACCCACCGAAGCTTAGAAGTGTGACTGGCAAACCGCTGAATATACTTGGGAGGAAACTGCTCAAATATGATGCTGCTGGTGTATCACTGTTTGTGAACTACTATGTTTGCGATGTTCCTTTCTGCCTGGTTTCTGTTGCCAGAATGCTACTGCAAGGTTACTGGGTTGTTCTTGGCAAAGACTGTATGAAACTGATGACTCCACAAGAAGAAACGATAAACGTGACGAGACGTGGCACACTGTTGTATCTCACACCGTCAATTGTGGCATCTGACACTGAGTCCATGAGTACGTGTGAACGTGCACTGGGTGAGTACATGAACACACTTGGTGTTGACTTGAACTCTGTGGGCGTGCCGCCCACAGACCCAGGCACTGATGCTGTTGAACAGCTGAAGACACTGATCAATACCATACAGCCAAAGTACTATCACACTGACTCATGGCAATTGGACGAAGCGAACTGCACACTGACGCGAATCCACAAACGACCGCGAAGGACAAAATTTATGCCAGATAGGTCAGACTGCCCTGGTGAAATGGACAGACTCACTGGAACCAGGATCACTACGATGGACTTTGGTGAAGGTAGGGAGGAAACTGTCACTGAATACTTCAGGCAATTGGTCAAGCAAAATGAGAGAACGAAGGAACACTGGAAAGGAAAAACTGTTTTTCAACTCAAGACTTTTTTCTCTTCCACTGCTGAGAAATACAACCGAAGGAAGAGCAAGGAAACCAGATGCTGACGAGCCTGTAGATGATGAAACGGACACTGCAATGCGAGACGCCTTGACAAAGGACACTGACGCGTCTAGGTTACTGCCGCATACTGCAGATGAAACTAGGAATATCACTGCTAGACTGTTGTCACATGGAACTTGTGATGATGAAAAGTTTAGAGTGTTACTGCTTGCACTGTTTCAAACGCCAAACCCTGAAACTGGAAACCTGGGAACTGCAGATCGCTGGCTTCACACGCCTGTTGCTTGGATACGTTTTCATCACACTGCACGGAGAGAACTGCACTTTCCTGATGAGACTGGACCAGATCATACTGACTTGGGACACATGAGAACAACTTTGTTCTTTCGAACAAGCGATGATGACTGGAACGGCAAGGTTCACACTGACATGTGGAGACTGGGTGACCGGACTGAACCACCGATGTCACCACCTGTTGCAGCGCTCTGAACCTGAAGTCACTGTTGAACAGGAAACACACGACAAGGCTGCCCGAGAAGCCAAAGCACTGCCTAGACCAAATGAGCCGATTGAACAACAGAGAGCACAACACAACCTTACGCATCTGCCTTATAGGTCTTGGTGCGAACACCGTGTACGTGCCAAAGGTAAAGAGCGACAAAGCAAGCGAAACACTGATACACAACCTGTCATTCAGATAGACTATTCGTTTGCTAATACTGGAGCTGATGTACAACAAAGAACCATTTTGACTGCTACTGATGTTCAAACTGGTTTGGCGACGTCTGTCGTTGTACCTGCTAAAGGTAGACATGCCTATGGCATTACTGAACTGAAGAAGTTCGTCTACGAGACTGGTAGAACCTTCGGCATACTCCAATATGACAAAGAGCCGCCACTGAAAGCACTGGCTACTGACACCATGAAAGAACTAGGCGGAGTGAGCGTGAGAGCCACTCCGCGAGACTGGAAACAGGCACATGGTTCCATAGGAAAAATGCAAAAGACACTGTTCGGACAAGTGAGGGCTCTTCGACTGCAACTGCAAGACCGCTTGGGCATAGAGATCACTTCGAACGACGGCATTTTCCCATGGATCGTCAAACATTCACATTTTTGACTGAATCGATACATGACACATGAAGATGGTCAAACTTCCTATTTTCGAATATGGAAAGAGGACTACCAAACTGGACTGTGTGAATTTGGTGAAACTGTTTTGTTTCGAATGCCTGGTAAACTGTGTGACAAAGTTGACACTGCCTGGTATGAAGGCATCTATCTGGTTAGGCAAAGACACTGAAGCGGACGGCTCACTGGTGTTTGGAAATGGTACCATGCACAAAGTTCGTACTGTGCGACGTGTAGTTCCGTCAAAAAAATGGAACAAGACACCACACAAAACACTGAACGTAACACCTTGGGATACCCCTGACACCACTTTTGTTTTTCCGCCGTCATTGGTCTTTTTTGGACGAATCCGAGCACCTCCGGGACTCGAGATTGTGGAAATTGAACCAATGCCAGAAGACGATATGGAAACCAAAACTGAAGGCTACAGCCCATCTCATGGACTCCGACTGAACGACTGCCACATCCGAAACGGATTGTAACTGATGACTTCTCGGATGATGACATTCAGGAACACAAATGTCGGACTGTTGGAGCATTGTTTGATGTGACTGCTCTTACTGCCTGTGTTTGTTCTGTGACTATAGGTGATACTGAGGTTTCTGTAGCTAGAAACGAAGACGCTGATGAATTCAGACAAGAACTTGCACTGACAGAACCGTGTTTGGGTCATGTGGAACCAGAGTTCACTGAACAAGAAGTCAGGGAAGGAATGATGGAAAAAATGAAATCAATGAAAGGATTTGAAGTGTATGATGAAATACCAATTGAAACTGTTCACAAGAGGACATTGACAATGCACTGGACTGCACTTGGGTGAAGCGTAGGAAAACGCCGTGTAAAGTTCGCTGTCGACTGGTTGCACGCGGATGCTTCCAAGAGGACATGGACACTGACGACACTTTCGCGTCTAGGCCTACTCTTGTCACTCTTCACGTCCTTCTTCTCTTGTCACCGTCCAAATGTTGGACTGTTTTGACCTGCCGCATTTCAAGTGCCTTTTTGCATGCGCTCATGTTTGAGCGACTGTTTATGCGACCGCCTATCGAATGTTACCCAGAGAGCAACTGTCTTTGGTTACTGAAGCGATCGATGTACGGACTGAAACAAGCACCTGCACTTTGGCAAATTCACTTCGCGAAAACAATGATGTCACTGGGGTTTCATGGTTGTAGGACTGACCCTAACCTGTACTGTCACTCCTCTAAGGAACTGTATCGCCTACCACTGGAACTTCTACGGAACCAAAGTATGTTCCTCAACCACTGAACAACGCGGATCACAAAACGCATCGCGCGATTGTAGGGAAACGGCTGTGGTTTGCACTGATCAGACCTGACATTTCTTATGCGACCAAGGAACTGTCGAGAGATTTGACTGCACCGACCACTGGAAGTGTCACCAAGGTGAAACACTTACTGAGGTACATTTCAGGTACCAGAGATCACTGTCAACGATTGTGTCCAAGCGTGACAATGTCGGACTCGGACTGCACTTTGGACATTGACTGCTCTGTTGGCTCTGACTGGGCATGATGTAGGACCACCCGCAAGAGCACTAGTGGAACTGTGGTTCAACCGTTGAACTCAACTGTTTCTTTTGGGAGCAGAACACAAAGAACAATTGCCCTTAGTTTGGGAGAAGCAGAACTGTATGCAATAGGACAAGAAACTAGCGAGGCACTGTTTGTCAAGAACCTGATCATTGAAGCAAAACCTGCAAAGTCGGTGAACGTCACTGTTCACACGGACTCCACTGGAGGCAAAAGCATGGCCACTAGGTTTGGAACAAGCAAGAAAACAAAGCACGTAGGACTGAAATTCCTTTACGTGCAGGAACTGGTAGCGAAAGGAAATTTGAGACTGAGAAAAGTAGGAACTAAAGTAAATTTTGCTGATGTTCTCGCCAAATATTTTTCTTCTGAACTGTTGGTATCCCATTTGAAGAAACTGTGTCTTTTCACTTCTGTTTATCGTTTCCAACTGCAGCACTGCCAGAAAGGTTTCACCAAGCCAACTGTTTTAAGCACTGGCTCTGGACTGTGGAAATTCGCCCCCTGTCAACGAGGGGAAGTAGCGCGCACCACTGCACACATACACTGTATAAATATACTGTATAGATAGCTTTATGAATACTGAATTCGTTTTGTCATTGCTGCCACTGCGCTCTGAAAGCCACTGCTGGGCACTGGATATTTGAACTGAATTTGAAGAGCCGGGACTGCACTGTTTGAACTGATTTTTCGGTCAAAATAGCTGTCACTGACTGACTGCGCTGACACTGTTGAGCTCTACTGCCTGACTGCTCACTGTCACCGAAGATGGCAACCATGGTGGCCGAGAATGCGGTATTGACTTCACTGTATACCGCAGTGATGAATGTATTGAAAGTTCCAACTGATGCTGTTTCTCTGTTTCCGGAACTGACTGAGTTTGAGGCTCATCAACTGCTGACACTGACACAGCAACTCATTGACTGTCAGCAACTGCTGGAAACACTGAAGCAGACCCACACTGAGCGACACTTTAGGCGGATCACTGAGCTTCCCTGCACTGTGACGGATGGCCTCTATGGACTGAGGATGCAGCGACCACTGGTCGAGACTACTGCAATCAATGTCTTCTCGCTCACTGCCTTGCACGCGAGGCGATTTGGGATTTTTCAAGCCCAGATGTCACTGGAAGTACTGTTTCTGGGACTGAAGGAGCACCACCTGTCCTACTCCAGGACTGAGACCGGGCTGTACCGCGGAATCACTGTGATTCACGCAACTGCGACCTTTGCGAATGTGGATCTCACTGCTGTCCTCGGGAACACTGTGACGAAGGATCAGGCTGACTGGAACCTTGTACTGGCACTGCCGTTCTCAAATGGGACAATTTGTCCGTGGAGAACTGTCGATGGAGTCTTTTGTCCATCAGCAGTGCAATCTGTGGCACCGTCCAAGATCTGCACTCTTCCGACTGGCGCACATGCACTGGCAAGAAATGGAACTGGACGCTGAGGAGAACATCTCACTGCTGGTGATGAATCCATTGAAAAACAGATTCAGCCAAGGCACTGTGAAGACTGAGCCTGGCACTGGCATGCTCTACACTTTCAACCGGCTGTGGTTGGACTACTGTCTGACAACTGGAAGTGTTGAAAGGTTCGCACTGGAACCCATGGAACTGGAGACTGGGATGATCTTCGAGCTTCAAGGCCTGACTCTTGGCGCACTGTCTGCACTGAGCACTGAGATGACGTGCGCTGAACTGTACGGATATCACTGCAGCGGCCTTGTTGGGCACCTCGTGCTCACTGTGTCTCAAGGCAAAATGGTTGGACTGAACACTGATGACATGTCTTACCAGATGCAGTTTGAAACACTGGGAACTGCACCCACTGGAGCTATGAATCGTGCTCGTGTGGCATCTGTGCCACTGAGCACTGATGATGATGACGACACGGATGAGTCCACTGTGGATGTTGATTTTGGGCTCACTGCCTACGGACGTCGCATCACTGTCGAGTTTCGAAAGCGCAAGTGAAAGACTGCCCTGAGCCGCCAACTGTAAAGTTTTCGTTGAACTGAAGTGATACTGACCCACTGCGCACTCCATGATCGTACTGATCTGACTGTGACTGCCAACTGACTGTTGGCTCAAGACGCCACACTGTGAAAAGGCCTGGGTGAACTGCAGACTGTAGGTACTGATTTGTCTACTGTTAGTTGCATTGGTGAAAGATCCAGAATCTTTGCTGTCTGTCTGTCTGTCTGTTTGTTTGTTTGTTTGTTTGATTAAAATTTTCAAAACAAAAAGGGTGATGATATCGGTATTGCTGCTGAGTTTGTGCAATTTGCTCCTGGTCACCTTTTGACGGATTTACTGCGTTTTTACAATCACGCGTTGTTTTCTGGGGAAGCGCTCGAAACTTGGAGAACTACAACGTTCATCATGCCTGCCAAATCTAACCAAACAAAGGCACCAGCAGAGTTCAGGCCCATTGCCAGCATATGTTACTTTCGGAATTGATCCTGGACATGCACCAGCCTGAGGAACAACTCGGTTTTCGCAAGGGACACCGTCTTGAGGAACACTTGGTGGCTGCAAATCTGGTCGTGGATAAGTTGCGTATCAAAGACCAACCTGTGTAGATAATCAATTTAAATTGCCGAAAATTTCTTTCTGACCGGGCGAATTACGAAAAAAAATATCACCCTTGATTGATGGGTAGGTATCCTTACCCCACCATTCCATAAGAATCTGGTGTGTGTAATGGTCGGGCACAGGTATATTTGTATAGAATAGATCATTTTTCGGGCTTATATGTCATGGAATACCATTGTACGACCTAGCAGGCCGGATATGCAAAAAAAATGTTTCGCCATTATGTTATGGAAATAGCATAAAAATGAAATCTTGAAACCAAGGAAATTTGATGTCTATATTATGGAACGGGTTGCGTCTTGAGGGGGTCATTTTAAAGTATCGCAAGATCGGTTAAGGTAAAATTATTGCTTATGTTCGGACACGTTAGCAGACTCGAACCATTTGTTTTATAAACAACATAGGTACTTGTGAAGTTCCCATTGTATGAAATGGAACTGCTATCAACTGTTCCTAATGAAATTCAAATTAGGTTTTTATTATATTTCAAGACGTTCCATTTCAATCCATTTCATACAAAACATTTGGGTGTTGTCCAAAATTATCCCGAGAACTACCTTTACGCCACCTTTTGGCGAACCTTTCGCGCCCCAGCAGAATCGGGACAAGGAATTGTGATCATGTTTTCGTGTGCATATATGTTTATAAATTAGTGGTATGCAGACCTCTCGCGAACCTTTCGCCGCCCTTTCGCGGCCCTGCACCATGCACTGCAGCAAAACACACACATATATATCCATGTCTGCAGATGTCACTCTTCTAATGTTTCTGGATTTCGTGCTTCAAATACTTGATTTTTCAAGTTTATTTTTTTTTATTTTTTTTTGTCAATGAAATGTGTGTCCAGTTTTGCCCCGCATGTCTGAAAAAAATTCCCTTAGCAAAATTGGAACACTGGTCCTGCACAGCTTTGAGCCCAATACGGCTTAGCTGGTTGAGCCCTAGGGCCGATCAGTTTCCGCAGGCGGGTAACACCGCAGCGTCGTAGGCGGGAAACTCTCGAGCAGCGTGACAGGAGTTGCCGGCAAAGGAAAAGGCAAAACCAGGACAAGGAATTCTGCCGCAGTGGAAAGGAAGATCCTGAAAGGGATAGCCAAGCGCTGGGAGAAGAGTTAACCGCCCCCAACCAGGGTCAATGTCGGATTGTGAAACTTCCCGGTCGGATTGTGAAACTTGCCCGTCGGATTGTGAAACTTGTCTTGTGAAACTTGAAAATCGGATTGTGAAACTATAAAGTAGGATTGTGCAACTCTGCAGACGTGAAACTCTGGGGGCGGATTGTGAAACTGGGATTGTGCAACTCTGAAGGCGGATTGTGAAACTCTCGGGGCGGATTGTGAAACTAGGATTGTGCAACTCTGAAGGCAGATTGTGAAACTCTGGGGACGGATTGTGAAACTCTGGAGACGGATTGTGAAACTCTGGGGACAGATTGTGAAACTGGGATTGTGAAACTCTGGGGGCGAATGGTGGAAATCTGGGGGGGAATTGTGAAACTGGTTTTGTGCAAGTTTGCAAAGAGATGGATTGTTTCACGTGTACTGTGAACCTCTGAGGACAAATCAAGAGACTTGTGGAGACTCCAAATCACTGTGGGAATTTTGATATCATCTTAACCTTGTGGAGACTCCAAGTCAGTTTGAAATTCCATGGGGGTGGGAATTTTGATATCATCTTAACCTTGTGGAAACCCCAAGGCAGTTTGAAGTTCCATGGGGGTGGGAATTTTGATATCATCTTAACTTTGTGGAGACTCCAAGTCACTTTGAAGTTCCATGGGGGTGAGACTTTTGATATCATCTTAACCTTGTGGAGACACCAAGGCAGTTTGAAGTTCCATGAGGGTGGGGATTTTGATATCATCTTAACTTTGTGGAGACTCCAAGTCAGTTTGAAGTTCCATGGGGGTGGGAATTTTGATATCATCTTAACCCTGTGGAGACTCCAAGTCAGTTTGAAGTTCCAAGGGAGTGGGGATTTTGATATCATCTTAACCTTGTGGAAACCCCGAGTCAGTTTGAAGTTCCATGGGGGTGGGAATTTTGATATCATCTTAACCCTGTGGAGACTCGAAGTCAATTTGAAATTCCATGGGGGTGGGACTTTTGATATCATCTCAACCTTGTGGAGACGCCAAGGCAGTTTGAAGTTCCATGGGGATGGGAATTTTGATATCACCTTAACTTTGTGGAGACTCCAAGACAGTTCGAAGTTCCATGGGGTTGTGATTTTGATATCATCTTAACCCTGTGGAGACTCCAAGTCAGTTTGAAGTTCCAAGCGAGTGGGGATTTTGACATCATCTTAACCTTGTGGAGAATTCAAGTGAGTTTGAAGTTCCATGGGGGTGGAAATTTTGGTATCATCTTAGCCTTGTGGAGACTCCACGTCAATTTGTTTTGATATCATCTTAGCCTTGTGGAGACCCCAAGTCAGTTTGAAGTTCCATGTGGCTGGGAATTTTGATATCATCTTAACCTTGTGGAGACCTCAATTCAATTTGAAGTTCCATGGTGGTGGGGAAATTTTGATATCATCTTAGCCTTGTGGAGACCCCAAGTCAGTTTGAAGTTCATGGGGGTGGGACTTTTTGATATCACCTTAACCTTGTGCAGACTCGAAATCAGTTTGATGTTCCATGGGGGTGGGAATTTTGATATCATCTTAACCTTGTGGAGACCCCAAGTCAGTTTGAAGTTCCATGGGGGTGGGAATTTTGATATCATCTTTGCCTTGTGAAACCCCAAGTCAGTTTGAAGTTCCATGGGGGTGGGAATTTTGATGTCACCTTAGCCTTGTGGAGACTCCAAGCCAGTTTGAAGTTCTATGGGGGTGGGAATTGTGATATCATCTTAACCTTGTGGAGACTCGAAATCAGTTTGAAGTTCCATGGGGGTGGGAATTTTGACGTCGTCTTAACCTTGTGGAGACTCCAAGTCAGTTTGAAGTTCCATGGGTGTGGGAGTTTTGACGTCATCTTAACCTTGTGGAGGCTCAAGTCAGTTTGAAGTTCCATGGGGGTAGGAATTCTGATGTCATCTTAACCTTGCTTATGCAGGCTCCAAGTCAGTTTGAAGTTCCATGGGGGAGTGGCGCTTTTGATATCATCTTAACCTAGTGGAGACCCCACGTCAGTTTGATGTTCCATGGGGGTGGGACTTTTGATATCATCTTAACCTTGTGGAGACACCAAGTCAGTATGAAGTTCCATGGGGGTGGGACTTTTGATATCATCTTAGGCTTGTGGAGACCTCAAGTCAGTTTGAAGTTCCATGGGGGTGGGAATTTTGATATCATCTTAACCTTGTGGAGACCCCAAGTCAGTTTGAAGTTCCATGGAGGTGGGAATTTTGCTATCACCTTGACCTTGTGCAGACTCGAAATCAGTTTGAAGTTCCATGGGGGTGGGAATTTTGATATCATCTTAACCTTGTGGAGACCCCAAGTCAGTTTGAAGTTCCATGGGGGTGGGAATTTTGATATCATCTTTGCCTTGTGGAGACCCCAAGTCAGTTTGAAGTTCCATGGGGGTCGAATTTTGATATCATCTTAGCCTTGTGGAGACTCCAGGCCAGTTCGAAGTTCCATGGGGTGGGACTTTTGATATCATCTTAACCTTGTGGAGACACCAAGGCAGTTTGAAGCTCCATGGGGATGGGAATTTTGTTGTCATCTTAACCCTGTGGAGACTCCAAGTCAGTTTGAAGTTCCATGGGGGTGGAAATTTTGATATCATCTTAACTTTGTGGAGGCTCCAAGTCAATTTGACGTTCCATGGGGTTGGGACTTTTGATATCATCTTAACCTTGTGGAGACTCCAAGTTAGATTGAAGTTCCATGGGGGTCGGAATGTTGACATCATCTTAACCTTGTGGAGACCCGAAGTCAATTTGAAGTTCCATGGGGGTGGGACTTTTTGATATCATCTTAACCTTGTGGAGACCCCAAGTCAGTTTGAAGTTCCATGGGGGTGGGAATTTTGATATCATCTTAACCTTGTGGAGACTGCAAGGCAGTTTGAAGTTCCATGAGGGGTTGGGGCTTTTGATATCATCTTAACCTTGTGGAGACTCCAGGGCAGTTTGAAGTTCCATGGCGGTGGGAATTTTGATATCACCTTAGCTATGTGGAGGCCCCAAGTCAGTTTGAAGTTCTATGGGGTGCGGGGATTTTGATATCATCTTAACCTTGTGGAAACCCGAAGTCAATTTGAAGTTCATGGGGGTGGGAATTTTTGATATCATCTTAACCTTGTGGAGACCCCAAGTCAGTTTGAAGTTCCATGGGGGTGGGAATTTTGATATCATCTTAACTTTGTGGAGACCCCAAGTCAGTTCGAAGTTCCATGGAGGTAGGAATTTTGATATCATCTTAACCTT